CCAGGAACAACTGTAATTCTTCTTTAGTAGACGGCTTCGGTGCATCTCTAAGCGCCTCAATATGTTTATCTGATTTGTGGATTCCGTGGGAGTCGATTTTATGACCCAAGAATTCGACTGCTGTAGAAGCGAAGACGCATTTAGTGCGGTTGAGACGAAGTCCCTGTGATTGAAGACGTTCCAATGTCTTATCCAGGATTATCATTAAGTTATCAAATCCATCTGCGAATAGCAGTATATCGTCGAAGAAATTTAATACATTGGGTAGGTCCCGAAGAACAGTTTCCATGCGACGTTGCCATATCGCTGGTATGTTCGCTGCACCGTAGACTGCGCGCTTGGGGCGAATTAATCCGTGAGTTGGTGTATTTAATGTCAGTGCGTGTGCGAATTTTTCATCTACTGGTAAGTGCGTATAGGCATCCGTAATGTCTAAATGGCAGAAGAGGTTAGCGTTTTTCATTTTATTAAATAAGTGCTCAGGTTTTGGAATGGGATGTTCGTCGATCACAATGCATTGGTTGAGAGTCGGTTTATAATTGCCCGTGATGCGTATTTTCCCGTTTTTCTTGGTCACAATGTGTGTTGTGGAAGCCCATTCTGAAAATTCTACTCTCTCGTAAAATCCTGATGCAAGCTTGGCCTCGATCTCCTTAGCATATTCATCGCGAAGAGCTAAAGGTACTTCACGTGCGCGGGAAAAAATTGGTGTAGCTCCAGGTTTAAAGTGTACTGAAACTGGAGAGCCTGTTAGTTTGCCTGGAGTGTTGCTAAAAATGTTCTCATAGCGAGCCAAAAGGTGTTCGAGTTGTTTATTCTGTTCCGTGGATAACGATGGTGGCTCAGTGCTTAGTGAATGGATTGTGTTTGAAGCCGAAAATAGTTTGTTAAGATTAATTTCTTCAGTGAATTCTGCTATCCATTCTCGTCCTAAAAGAGTGTCGAAAGGCTCTTTAACAACGTACAGTTTAAGTTTACGCGAAGTTGTACCCAGTGAGACGTTGACTGGTAGATATCCCATGCATTCGATGTGATGACCCGTATAACTGGCAAACTTCCGATCCGTAGAGCATAGCTTGAAATCAGGTTTAATTAAGCGCAATATATTTTCATTAACAATGCTGCATGGTGCTCCTGTATCCAGTTCCATCGCCAATTCATGACCGTCGATCTTGACCATAATCATTTGCTTGTTCAAAACTTTAGTTGCATGAATTTCTTCGATTTTACTAAATTGTTGAATCGTATCGACATGTTCTGCTGGAAGAGCCGTTGTAGTTGCCTGATTTGCATCTTGTACCGCTTGAATAGTTTTACCAGATCTGCATACTTTAGCAATGTGCCCAACTTTGCTGCACTTATGACACACCGATTTCCGAAAGGGGCATGAAACTCGTCTGTGTCGCTCTCCACATCCTTGACATGGATGCGGATTGTTACCATCTCGAGCGTTAGCAAATTGATTCCGATGTAGGCTTTTACTACGTGAGCGTGACCTGTAACGCGAGAATTGTTTATTATATTTAGTTTTCACCGGTGCCTGCTTAACTTTATGCGTTTTTTCCACTGTTTCTGAAGTCTCGGCCGTTTTAACCTCGTTAGATGTAGATCGCGTTGCTTCGAGTGTATTAGCAATTTCGTATGCTTGCGTAAACGTTGTTGGTTTCTTTGCGATAATTTCATCGCACATTTCGCGCGAGTCGAGTCCATGTAGTAGTTGCTCTATAAGCATCCGATCTAAAAATTCGCCATACTCGCAGTGAGCAGCACCTTGTTTAAGACGTAATGTGAAATTTGCGACGCTCTCCTTCTTTTGCTGCACAATAAGACGAAATTTAATGCTTTCGGAATATTTATTTCTAGTACGATCGAAATGATTTACAAGTACCGAACGTATTTCGTTATAAGGTAATTCCTCTGGTTGTCGCGGAGAGACTAAGA